ATGATCCAGACGCTGGTAAGACCTTCGCTCCCTCCTCCCCCAGCCCCAATACTCCATGGCCAGCCCCAGCACCCCCAGGCTGGTCCCCAGCCCGGCGCTGTGTCACAGTGCCCCTCAAAGCAGCAGCTCAGCTGGAGTGGACATTGCTCAGCTGCGGGGTCTCCAGCAGCTTCATGCCCTGCCAGACCCGTGGCTCCAACACACGGAGTCTCAGAGCCCTCCCAGGAGGCTCAGCAGCACCCCGTAGCCCCTGTGAGCAGGATCAGGCCCTTTGCAGGCAGTGCTGCACCCACACCACGTCACTGGCCTGTAGTGCTCCGCAGCCCAGCCGGTATTTCCAGTACTTGGGGCTGGAACAAAGCATCACTACTGCTCCTCAGGACAGACAGACATACCCGTTGGAGGGATCCAGGGGCTCTGAGGCTGAAGTAGCCAGGGCCTTTTGGGGCATCAATGTAGGGGTTTGGGGGCATCACTGTAGGACACGCTCAGCCCCCTAAGCAGTGCCGTACCGACCCTTTGAAGTTCTCCGCGTGGTGCAGTGCTCTGCATTGCTCTCTTGCTTTGCCTTCCAGTCCCAGTATATCTTCCTGCACAGCTGTATCCTGGAAAAGATCTTGGAGGAAACGCTCCTGGGTTTATCAGGGACAGAGAGGTAAGGGCCTGCTGCGTTTTGCCTGCCACTCCACCCACCCTGATCCGCAGCCCCTGCAGACAGCAAGCTGGGATCCTCACCCCAGCTTGAGCCTTGGCTCCAGGACAGGACAGGGAAGCCCAGCCAGCCATCCCACCCAGTGTTTTGAGGGGGGTCAGCCCAGGGCTGGCTGTTCCCTGCAGCATGGGGAGCGCAGAGCAGAACTAGGTGTGAGTCACTAGGCACACTGGGAAGGCTTGGGTGACCACATCCCCCTTTCCTCCAGTGCCAGTCTCCTGAGCTACGCCAATGCCAAAGAGCTGCAGAGCTGTCCTGGGGAAGGCATTTTGATCAGCCTCTGGCTTCCCAGCCCACAGGGATGCCCTAGAGATGGGTTCAAACTGGAGGGGCTCAAGGTAGCTGGGTGGCCTTGGGATGTCCCTTCTAATGGAGGCCAAGAGGAGGGAGCAGGGTCAGGCTGGGCATGACTTTGCCCACCTAACTCGTTGTCTCGGAGGCTACATTTGGAGGTCATGTATCTCTGTTTATATTCAAATTCTCCTCCCTCGTTCACAACAGGATGCCCTTGTCCTTGCTTTTCGGAGGCTACACTTGGAGGTCATGTATCTCTATATTCAAATTCTCCTCCCCGTTCACAACAGGATGCCCTTGTCCTTGCTGCGTCTTGGGAATGGGCCTTGGGCTGTGGCACACCTGAGACCACATTTGGAGGTCATGTATCTCTGTTTATATTCAAATTCTCCTCCCTCGTTCACAACAGGATGCCCTTGTCCTTGCTGCGTCTTGGGAATGGGCCTTGGGCTGTGGCACACCTGAGACCTGCCCTTGTCTAGGGGAGAGGAGGTTGGCTCTGGCCAGAGCTGGGCTGGGGCCCTGCCAGGGTCCTGGCATTTGGGCAGTGAAGGTGCCTGTCCCCCTGCTGCAGACACAGCCTGGATGCCGCTGAGGTTGCTCAACCTCACCCTTACCCCCAGTTTCTCTCCCCAGGTCCTGCCCCATCCCGCTGAAGACCTTTGCTCAGCACTACGCCCAGAAGGCTGCCAAGTCCCATGTGGGCTTCCTGAGGGAGTACGAGGTAAGAGCTGTCCTGGGCAGGGTGCAGGGAGTGCTGCCATGGCCATATGCACTGGGGAGACCTGGGAAACGATTGCACCCGGTCAGGCTGGGTGATACCCAAGAAGTGCCTCCTGAATGGGTCCCATGCCCCAGTTTCAATGTGCCTGGCTGTCCTGGCAGTGTCCCTTCTCCATGGCACAGCACGTTGCTCCTTCATGAATCCTGCACTGATCAGGGTCTGTCTGTGAACCCTTCTTCTCAGACCGCATGCAGGGTAGGGACTAGAGAGAGATGCTGCCATCTCCTGACAGCGCGGAGCAGACCTGGCAGCCCACCCCCAGAGGTGGTCACATGAGCACCCCTGCTAAGGCTTCTGCATGTGCAGCCATAACCACCCCTCTGCCGTGGCCAGGCATCCTAAGGAGCCCCCAGTTCCTCCTCCTGCTGACCCTTCACTCTCTTTCACTTTGGCAGACCCTCCTTGAGGTTGTCAAGGAAGAAGCCAGCTCTGCAACACCATCTTCAGGCAACCAGCAGACACGGCCCTCTTCCAGCATCCTGCCATGTAAGTGCTGTGACACCTTGCATCCTCTTCCTTCCTGTACCTGCGGGGAGCCAGGCTGGACCAGGTGCTCCACAGTACAAGAAAATATTTTGACACACTGCAGTGAGTCCACCAGAATGCTACCAAAGTGTTTTGGGGGTGAAGCACCTGGTGTATGGGACTAAAATGGGTGGGTTTGTTTAACCTGGAGGAGAGAAGGCAAAGGGGAGATCTTATTGCTACCTTCAACTACCTGCTGGGAGGGCACAGAGAAAATGTAGAGTCTTCTCAGAGGGGCACCATGGGGGGACAAGAGGCAATGGGGATGATTTGGAAGAGTAGTGCAACTCAGTATAAGCAAAAAAGAATTCCCATGAAGGTGGCCAAACCCTGGAACAGAGGCCAAGAACATCTGCAGGCTCTTCATCCGTGGAGATATGCAGATATCCACTGACCAAGACACTGAGCAACCTGCATTACACATACCTGCTTTGGGCAGGAGGCTGGGACAGAGACCTGTCTTTTGGAAACCAATGACAAGAGCACAGCAAGGGGGAGCGCCTTTGCAGAGATAGGGTGAATGGGGGGCTGGATTTTGGGTGGCTGTGCAGAGTCTGGTAGCTGGTCTGCAGGAGCTGTGTGAACACAAGGCTGCCCTGGAACCCTCCATGTCCCATGTGTTTTGCAGATGATCGCTCTAGAGTGAAGTTTTCCCTGCTGGAACAGGGCCCCTTCTCAGATCTCCTACAGGTGTGGCGTGTCCCGGTGAGTCGTACCCCCAGGAGCAATGCCCACCCCTGCGCCTGGGTCCCACAGGCTGCAGGTGATGATCCCCTTCCTCACCATGCCCCTGCTCCCTGCTGCCAGGTTACTGCACTGGTCACTGCCGCAGTGATCCTGTGTGGACAAGAGTGGCATTCTCATTCCCCACCCAGGGCTGCAGCTCCAGCAGGGAGTATCTGGCTGTCCAGGGGCCTGACAAGTTGACCATGGAGGACTTCTGGACCCTGGTGTGGGAACAGGACGTTCACACCATCCTAACACTTCTCGCATGGCAGGAGCAGGGTGAGGTAAGGCGCCGTGCCCGCCTGTGCCATGGCAGAGCAGGAATCTGTTCAATGGAGCTGGAAGCTAGCGTAGCTCCAAAATATGAACTCTCATCACTGGCTCCTGAGCCTTGCATGCAGATCCAGCTTGGCTAAAGCTGAACCTTTCCTGTGTCAGCCTGTTTCCACAGCTTGTCATGGGAGACAGGTTCTGTCTGCCCACCATGTGGTCCACGGCTGTGGGCTCAGCTGGTACTCTTCAAGCTGCATCTCCATGGCACCCAAGGACAGCAGCTCTGGCCTCAGTCCGTCCGAGGTGGAGAACATGTGCTGAGCAGATTCCCACTGCCTAGCAAGCTCTCTGTTAACAGGGAGTCTGGCTACAGTCTGCAGTTCTTTCCAAAAGTCCCACAGCGTTTAGTTAGGGGGTGAACTCGCATGGAGTGATATTGGGGGTGCCCTTGGTCCAACCCCGTCACAGTCCCCTGTGATGGTGACTGTTCTGAAATATGGAAACTGTCAACATGAAACCAGGCTTTCTGTTGTGCACAGGTCCCAAGTGAGGCATGCTGGCCCCTGGAAGGAGACTCTCTCTGCACAAAGATGCTGACCATCCAGTGTGGCACAGAGAAGCTTGCCTCTGGATGGAGGTGTATCCAGCTCAAAATGAAGCACGTACGTGTTGGTGGGGCTGGACTGGCTCCCACTGCCTGGGATGCTCTTCACTGCTAGCAAACAGGTCTGTAGGGGCAAGGGCTGAAAGGTCCGTGGAGACTTGTCTGAGCTGCTAGAGCAGTCCACAGATGCAGGAGGGAATCTAGACTGCAACATCCAGAAGAACATCTGCTGAATGGACACAGGAGATGCATGGCAGAGGCTTAGAGGCTTCCCCCACCCCTTGCTGATAGGTCTTTCTGACCCTCTTTGGAAAAGCCCACACAGTTCTCAGTCTCCCTCTCAAAGGGCAGGTCGGGATGCCGTGGGCGAGGAGAGCAGGTTGCCACGGGCACCATACCCACTGGACAGATGGTGGGCAATGCCCCAGCAGAGACTGCCTGGACAGCTTTACAGATGTTAGCAGTTAGCTCAGGAAAGTATCTAACAGCCCAAGGATTGGAGAGCTGGGACCCCTCTGCACCCAAACTCACCCATCCTTCCCCAACAGCCGTGCCAACTCTTTGTGTCTCTCCAGGAGAAGAAAGCAAAGGAGAGGCAGGTACAACGGTTCCTATACAAGCTCTGGAGCAGCAAGAAGCAGCCAGATGTCCAGGACCTGGTGGAGCTCCTCACTGCTGTCAGACGATGCATGCCCCACCGAAAGAGAGCCGGTCCTCTGCTTCTGCACTGCAGGTACATCACGTTACTGCTCTGTCTGTGGGCAGCCTCCCAGAGCTGATACCCACCAGTGCCTTGGCATGGCCTCCAGCAAGCCTGCGCCCTCCACCGAGGACCTCGAGGTTTGGGGGCATGTTGAGAATAGGTCCATGGGAGCCAGAGAAGCTCTGAGCTTGGGAGGTCAGATGAAGCAGTGCTCTGCCAAGAGCATGGGAGAAGGGAGGGCAAATAGGACTGGGCCACGGGCAAGTGTCGACGGAGCAGGCATTCCCAGGCTGAGGTGCCGAGGCCATCCCTGGGCTGACTGCTAGGACGTGACAGCAGCCCTGATGTCCTCATCTGCTTGTAGCCAGGGAGAGCTGACAGTCCCACAAGAGCCAACAGCTGGCACAGCGGCAGAGCTGGCTTGGGTGAGGGATGCAGGGCTTGGCAGGGCAGGGTGGGTTGGATCTCCAGTCTCCTTCAACAGGCACTTTGGGGTCCCATCCCCCTGGTCAGCACAGGGCTCCCTACCACCTAGACCAGTGCTCACTCCTCTGTCCCCACCCTACTCAGTTGCTGCATGTTTTCTCATGGGGTTTCTGACTTCTTGGGCTGGTACCCACTTCCAAAGAGGTTCAGTTCAGCCTGGCCTGGCATCAGTGACCCTCCCTTGTCCCTTGCAGTGGTGGCATGAGCCAAATGGGGACACTGATCTCCTTGGATTGCCTGTTGCACCAGATGAAAGCTGAGAGAATCGTGGACATCTACGGGGTGACTCTCCAGCTGACACGAAGCTGCTGTCTCATGACCCCAACTCTGGTAGGTGGGACGGAGGAACGGTGGTGGGCCGGGCAGAGCAGAACATTCATGCTGAGCTGCCTGGAGCTGGCAGCATGCTGCCCTCGCCCCAAGTGCTGCCTGCTGTCCAGCCTATGCAGGGATTTACTCTGCCAGCCACCAAGGGCGAAGGGCACTGTCTTTTCCCAGGGAAGGGCTTTCTGTCTCCTCACTTCTGGAGTCAAAGTAGGTTAAACTGCATGTGAGCTGACAATAAATGCACGGCAGTCTTCCCATTCTGCCCTGGAAAGCATGAAGCACTGGCTTCATCCTGCATGA